GTACATAGGCTTTTGTTGCATTTTTATTTTCCATTTACCTGTGTCAAACTCCATACTGTATTAGTTTAGCTAAATTACATGATAGCTAAATGCTGTGATTTTTCTAGATGTACTATGCTTGCATTAAGCAGAAGCAAAGCTGATCGTGGAACGTGAATAATCTCCAACATGTCATTCTGAGCTTATTTAAAATCCTGTAGTGCTGGAATTCAGAGAAAAAGAAAAACTTTATGTCAAGTTTTTACAGAAATTTTAATATACAAAGTATTTGAACTGGTTTATTCTTTTATGAATCAAGGAGTTTAGTTCCACTTTTAAAAACTGGCACTGGGCCTTTTCAATACTATAAAACTCACAGTGTACAATAAAAGTCACTCATTTAGTATCAAACACAGACAGGAAGTGTAGAATTGATTTCATGAAGCAGAACTGCGGCGTTTCAACAAAACTTCCTCGTACTCCTTCTGCGTCAGAAGTCCCTGAGTTATACTCTTGCTTTCTTCAAATTTGGGTAGAACCACTGCGATGTACCCCTCAGTTGATGGCTAAAATACGAGACTGAAGTTAGCAGGGAAATAAAAGCTGAAAAATAAAGAACAAGAAAGCGTCTTACCTTTTCTTGCAGAAGAGCTGGATTACTAAGGATGTTCTCATTCACTTCTATCAGCCGCCCTCGTATGCAACTGCAAAAGTATTCAGATTCTGTAGATGAGTGTGGTATGTCAAGGGAAGAAAAGAATGGGAAAAACCTTACCTGTAAATGGTGTATTCCTCTCCATCTGATGAAGATATCCTGCACAGAGGGGCAAGTTCTGTTAAAAACTGAGCTCCCTGCATTTGGAAAATAAACAAACATGTCTGTAGTTTTAATTACGCAGGGCTTGTAAAAGTGTTACCATTTGCAATGTCTAAAAGGAAGGATGTGTGATAGTTACGGGTCATTCCATACAGAAAGGAAGATGCCAACTTCGTTATGTGCACAAATCAAGTAGAAGCTTGTTACAAGCTTACAGATTTAGTCATAGTTAAGTTTCTTGCAGACTAGAAAATTTATCTTTTGATGAGACTAAAGTCAGGAGAGAGAGGTGAGGAACAGCACCATAAGCAAGTTATACCCACCAACTATCTAGATCTGCTTGAAAAAAACAGTAATCTCCAAATCCTTTACATCTTCTTGGAAATAAATTTTTAGTATTTCAGGGAGATTTATGTCCCTCTGTACCCTACCAAAAAAATTATTAGAAGCAAGTGGGTTTAACCAACACTGGAAACCACCTTGCAATGCTCTAGGAGCACTGCAAGACCCTGGCTGGGACAGGCAGGCAGACACCTCTTGAGGATGTCTAAATTCTTCAAGTGCAGAGGGGCTCGTTTTAAATTAAATACAAAAGTAAGCTGCTTGCTTTCCAAGAAATGAGAGAAAAATCTCAGGCAGTGTGAGAGATTAAAATGAAAACTAAGGAAATCAAAAAGCCATACCCTTTTTGACTTCCCAGAGACTTTATTCTGAAGTCTGCTACAGTTTGCACTGATTTGGTAATTAATGTTTTTAATTGTTTTCCCACTTTGAAGAAGAGGGTGGGCCTCTGCCAAGGTGATGACACAGATTCTGTTAAAAAAAAAAAAAAGAAAGCAATTATTTCACTGTAGTTGTAAGAAATACCTTTGTGCTCTAACCAAGTCCCACAACCTTCTCTGTCTATCTTACTTGACACCTGTTGTACCAAACTGAATGAAAATGGCATTCTGACTTAAAGCCCCTCTCATAGAAAATGCTTCATTTTGAGATACCAAAATGAACTGTCAAAAGCCTTACACTTCTTACTGAAACAGAACCACTGCTTTTGAATAAGCCAGTGCTGTTCTATCAGTGCTGTACCCCATGAGAGCATGGTTGGTTCATTTCAGCCAGTAGCTGAAGTAGGTACTCACGCTAAGACAAACAAGTAAAGCATGGTGTACTTCTGTCACAAAATGTAACACAAAGCAATGTTTCTCAACAGCTAAAGGCCCTTTGTGGTGAACAATTACAGCTGATGAATCCTTCTGTGATCTGGGCCTTAGTTAACTTGCTGCTTTGCATTTCAATTTTTTTTCTGAAGGAGCGTTATTTCTTACTAAGACACTGAACAGTTTGAAACAAGCCCAGCTGAAGAGACTAACTTAGCCTAGAACCTTGCCTAATGCACAAGCATGAACTTGCCAGTTAATGAAGAGTAGAAGCTATTCTGTTTGAGAGTATAAAACCTAGAGCAAGTACCAGAATCAACAGAAGAGTGACTGCAGAGAAAACCAGGGCACAGAACCAGATCTCTCCCTGTGGATGCTGTATCCATCTCCCCACACTCCTCCTGGGGAGTTTTGGTTGCGCAGCTCCCACAAGAGGGAGCTGGATCCTGGTGAATGCATCCAGCGTGTCCTAGCAGCAAAGCTACCTCCCTTCACCCCAGCCTCCTTCTAAGGGGAAAATGACAAATTATCTTTGAGCTGTCACCTGATGGAGCTGAGAGCTCGCAAAACAAAAAATCAAGAGACAAATTTACACTGCCTAGAAACAGCAAACTGAGCCACGGCCCCATCCATAATAATGGTAAAATACAGAACATCTGGCTAAGCTGCTGTGGAATGCAAAGGTCTGATATTTCAGAATTCAAAGTAGCAGAACAGTCTTCTTAGACAATTGAACAAATCAATAGGATTTAAATTACTGTTTATATCAGACACCTGAGATTAATAACCTTATATTTAGTGTTCAGTACAAATGGAAGGGTGTCCTTCCTTGCTGTTACTGTCACACCTGTTATTTAAAGGTACTCTGGTTTCCCTTTTGAAAGAATTGAGGAAGAACTGCAGGAAACAGCCACAGAGAAGCTCCAACTCCAAAGGCTACAGCGAGGTGATGGTTCTGCCCTGAGCCAAGCATGCCCTTCCTTCTACTCCAAATTCGTAGAGCAGGCAACTCACCAAGAACACAAATGCTGCCTCACCTCCCCTCAACCCACAAGCCACTGGCCCTGCCAGTTTTTCTGTGGACAGTAGTTAAGTTCTGTTCTTCCTTCAGGGGCTAAGCACCCAGAAATGCTCCTCCTGCCCTAACAGGTTACAGCAGGGGGAGGTAAGGTATGGAAGGAGACTCCACATCAGGTACAGGTTGATTTGCTCCAAATCACTAGATATCCAGCTACATCCAAGCCGAAACAAGACACTTGACTATCTTGCCTTAATCATCATTAGTGCACAAGTGCACAAGGAAAAACAAGTTTTACCTAGAAAAAGCTGAATGTTTGTTCAAACTTAAGGAGTTTTAAATCAAATTAAACAGACTTCTTCAAAATTTCATTACGGAAAGGCCTCTTGGAACGTTCTTCTGCTACTAACGATCACAGAAACAATTAGGTTAGAAAAGACCTCTGAGATCGAGTCCAGCCTGCGACCGACCCACCACCGTGTCACCCAGAGCATGGCACTGAGCGCCACATCCAGTCTCACCCCTAGGGACGGTGTATGGGGCCCTTTCAGCAGGACAGGGTGCAAAGGAGCGAGGGCAGCACCACGGACACTGCTGAGCTGTACGAGGGGGGTGTGAGGGCGAAGAGGCCAAGCCTGACTGTTTCTCATTGGAGCAGTAATTAAAGGATGAGGAGGCCGATTTGTCACGCTCCCTCCCTCCCGGACAACGCAGGCTCGCCCAGTGCTGTGTCCCAGGCCATCCCTGTCCCTGTCCTGGCTGCTGCAGCCACCGCCGCTCTCTCTGGGCGCAGGGCGAGGCCCGGGGCTGCGGCCCCCGGCAGACCCCGACCCCCGCCGCCACTCGCCTGTTGGAGTGCTGCAGCACACAGAAGTCCTCGCACGGCCGCCCCTTCACGTCTGCAAGAGGGCACAAAGAGGAGTCAGGGCCCCGCTGCCCAGCCCGGCCCGGCCCGGCCCAGCCCGGTCCCCGGCGGTACCTGGCTTGTACCAGCGTGTGAAGTAGCGCTCGGCGCCGCCCGGCCCCGCCGCCCCCTCAGCCATGCCCGGCCCGGCCCGGCCCCGCCGGCGCGGCGCGATGACGGCGGGAGGGCGGCTCCGGCAGCGGCCGCCCCAGCCCGGCCCTCGCCCCGCCCCGCCACGGGAAACCCGACGGAAATAAGGTAGTACCTTTTTTTTTTTTTTTTCTTCTCTCAGCTGTAACATCTTTCGCCGTATCTGCATCACCTAGAAGAATGCTCAGACGCCTGCAGTTTGGTTCAGTGGTTTATTTTCTCTAGCATACAGCAATACAGTAACAGCTACAGTGACCACATATACACACATATAACCGTACTTTAAATTAAAAAACAAAATAAACAAAAAACCCCAAACAAACAACAAAAAAAAAGCAATCCCAATCATTCAATTAAAACATCTTTTTGTTTCCTGCTCGTGGGAAACAGAACAACCCAGTTTTTCCATAGAGATGTTAATTGCACTGGTGACTTAGTTCAGGCAGCAGGAGAGTCTCTGTGAATTCTATTTCAGCCTTTGAATTCCGTTTCAGTCTGGGCTGTGTTTTATATCAACATAAAAGAGCTGCATTCTCACAACACACGTGGCATTACAATTAGGCACAAAGGATGCAGAGAAACCGTACCAGCACCTGATCCCCACAGGCCAGGCAGGGGAGAACTTGAGAACCTCCACCTTTGCTCTGACTCCTGCTGCCCAAAGTAATCTGACACCTCTCCTGTACAAATACAGGCCAAAACCATTAGAAGAATAGGATACAGAAAAAAAAACTAAAGCAAAATTGATTCCAGCACTGTTTGCCTATTCTGTTTACCCACATCTAGTGCAGGCACTAAAGGCAGCTGTAACAGCATAAAAATTAAGGTATATACCATTATTAAGCTACAGATGGATACAGACACTTGCATTTATTATCCAGTTGCCAGGCACGTTATTAATTGCTGCAGAAAAATATACGCATAAAAATAAAGGGCTACTTCGAGCCTCTGCCCCACCAGTTTGCCAAACTATGAGTATTTCCAACAGGAGTACATTGCAATGGATGCAGGTTCTACTTTATACAGCTGACAAAGAGAAACAACAACAAAACAAACAAAAAAACCAACCTTTTGTCATCCCACTGATATAAAACTACAGCAAGTTTTAGTCTGTAGCCTTCTCAGTTATTAGTTTGGACAGCTGCCTATCATGGACATTTCTCCATCAATGACTGAAGAGCACTGAAGGAGTGGAATATGCTTGTGTACAGGATAGAGACATTTCTGCCCTCATGCCCACTGCATGAAAGGCAATTAATTTTTCTTATTCTTAAATTAGCAATGTGTTTTGATATGTGGATATTTTAATGTCAGTTGAGTACATCAAAAGCCAGCCAATAACCCACGGAAAACACTGAAATTCGTTGATTTATCTCCATCATTTAGTCATTGATCTTAAAATCTTTTGAGCAACAGTAAACTACCTGCCCACTTCCTATGTCATATTCGGACAAAAGAAGTCCAGCTGAACTGGCAGCTATTGTGGCTGTAGGCTAACAGAAACCAACAGTGAAAAATTCAAAGCAAACAGAGCTCATCCAAGTCTGAAATCCCCCAGGACTACAGAGATGCCCAATTTCTGTAGTACCCAGGATTGCAGCACAGAAGGTGGAAGCCCCATGGGCTGAAGTGCACTACATTCATGGAATTTTCCCAAACCACGGGTAAACACTGTACCCAAGCCCCAAAAAGCCTGCTAGGACACAGGGATGCATTAGGAGAGCTGAAGGAAGTATACCTTTGTAACCCCTGGCTTCAAAGGAGGAGTAGAACAGGATTTTCATCAATGTGAGCAGAAAAGTAAATATCAATCTTGCTAACCTGAGCAAAGGCTGAAGAAGGAGAAGCTAGTATTCTACTGGCTGCAAAAACTCCTATGGTACCCACTTTTCAACTTGTAAAAAACCCTCAAACCTCCCAATTAATTGAAAATATCTGTTTTCTGAGGTGATAGAACAGTTCCTGGCTTCCACTGTATGACAGACCAACAAACTGTTTTAACCTGTCATACAGAATATTATCAAACATTTCTCTTGTTCAAGCTTTTTATTCAGCTGATGATTTGAAGCAGTGCATGAGAAAAAGGTTCTAGTTATTTCTGGGATTTTTAAAGTTAGCTAGTAAGGTAGCATAATTGTTATTTATTCATCATTAAACTGTGACATGTTCACCTTCCCTGCAAATGCAGAACTTATTTTACTATTGGTTTTTTCCACCTCCTTCCTTCAGTGACATTCAGGGTGACTAAGCACATTAAGCCTGTAGGCTTAAACTACAAACTTAAGTATACACTTATCATCCTTAACACACTGTTTCTCTAAATATGCTACCAAAGAAATTTTGTTATTTTGGATTTCTCAGCTTTAGTTCTTGCAAAAAATATAGCACAGGTTGTGTGCACTGAACTAGAAGTAGGCAGCTCTCCCACTCAGCTCATTTTCCTAAAGTAAATCAACACTTTACTTCAGGAAGCTGTTGTAGGAAATGACTGTTTATCTAAGCCTGTAGCACTCCTCCCCCTTGATATCAAACAGGCTTTAATACACCTTTGTCACTTCAGGCATTGTAAGTGCTGAACAGTAAGTAAACCACTGCTTTTAAAGTCTTTTTGATGGAATTCACATACCTTAAAGCTTTGGCAATTTGTTGCTGATTTATCAGTAAAGAGCAACTCATATCAGAAGGGATGAAACAAGTTAAACAGTTTATGTAAACACTTAGAATGTGGTTTTACATTAATTTGTTTGGAGTAGAAAGCAACTGGAATAAGACAGAGGAATCCACAAGCTGCTGAGAGAACTAGCACCACAAGGATGGAATGGACTTATCTGCCTTTCCATATAAACCAGGTAGATGCAGAAGAGATGAGTTTTTACCAATAAACACATGCTAACCGTTAGATGCCTTGTTCTTTTTTTACTTTGCTCACTGTGCTTTGTATCCACTGATTTTAATTGTGCTAAAATAAAAACCACTTTTATTTTACCTCTTTAAACCAAAAAACCACTGAACTAAAAAACATGACATATAATTACATACAGCAAATAAATTCATAAAAAACCAACCTAAATTCCCCCAAACGATACAAATAATATAGATTTGGCCATGTTTTACTAAGTACCACTTTCCACAGTACCATAAGCAATTCTAAATCCCAAGTAAAAAAAAAAAAACAAAACACAAAAAACAAACTCCCAACAAACCCCAAACTTTACAGTGTTTCTTTCTATCAGGCAAGAAGGGAGGGAAGTACACAAAGACAAAGCACACCAATAAAAAAATCTAGTCTATATCAAACGTACCTTTCCAATAAGGAAATTTGTAGGAAAAAAAAACAACCCTACCACTTATAATTTAACACCAAGGTGTCCTCCTGGCAACCAGGATTACAAGTTTATGCTGAATACAATCTTATGTTCAAATACTGAGATAAGCAGCATTATCCCAAAACCCAGGAGAATCCCAGCATTCTGCAACAGGAAGTATCCCCACCGGCTACATCCATGGTCACTGGCATCATTGTGGAGCATCTCAGGTACCTAAGCAAACAAGAAAATGTTAAATGCCTTCAAAAGAAACAGCTGCTTCAAATCATTAATTCTTAAGATGCATCATACAAAATTCAAGTAGGTCCAGGCACTTACCATATCCACAAGAGCCACATACATGAACAAGCCAGCAGTAAGTGCAAATATCCACATTGAAACATTGTCTGCATAATGACCAATCAGGATCCCAGTCGCCATACCAAGATAGGCCAGCATAGCTGACAGAGCGTTATAAAGCACGGCTTGCTTGACAGTCATACCAGCTTTTAGGAGGACAGCAAAATCACCTGTGACAGGAAAAAAAAAAAAAACAAGATAAAGTTTTCATCTTCAGGTAAGTACTGCAGTGTTGTCTTATGTACAGTTCCCTTACTTGCAAGATTATTAAGCTACTTTTAAGCTGTCATTTGCCTCACTTTTTTCCTTCATGAAATCACAAACTACCAAAGGACAGAAACTCAGAGGGTGCACATGAACAACAACATAGCAGCAAATACTCCAAGCTTATAACTTTTAAGTCTTTGCATTTTTGAAAGAAGCTGACTTGGAAAAGACCCACAAGGATCATAAAGTCTAACTCCTGGCCCTGCACAGGACAGCCCCAAGAGTCACCCCATGTGCCTGAGAGCACTGTCCAAACACACCTCGAATGCTCAGCTTTGGTGCTGTGACCACTTTCCTGGAGAGCCTGTTCCAGTGCCCAAACACAATCTGGTTGAAGAACCTTTTCTCGATATCTAACCTATACCTTTCCTAACACAACTTCAGGCCATTCCCTCAGGTCCTGTCACAGGACAGATCAGTGCCTGCCCTTTGTCTTTCCCTCATGAGAAAGCTGTGGAGTGCAATGAGGTCTCTCCTCAGTCTCCTCCAGGCCGAACAGACCAAGTGACCTCAGCCACTGCTCAAATGGTTTCCCCTCCAGGCCCTCCATCTTCGTACCCTTCCTTTGGACATTCTCTAATAGCTTCATACCCTCAAGCAGTTTGAATTTAAACCACCACTGTAAAATGCTGCAGTACCTGATACATCTGAGTGTTCCTAAAATAAAATATTCCCACTCAATTACATATTCAATTTATTATCCTGTAACGGCTCTTTGTACTTTTAATCTGTGTTATAAATTTAAAATAATTTCTTTATTAATTTCTGTAAATGACCCTTAATGTCTTATTTTTACTTGAAGGAATGATAGAACACCAGCCAGAAACAGATTTTCTGTAATTCAGAACATACTTTTTCTAAACCAGAGTAATATAAGCTTATTATTTGAAAATAAAATGGATTCTTTGTAAGTTATCTCCAGTTAAAGTAAACAAAAGTGATTTTCAAAGCTGATTTGAGTAATTTGTTACAACAGCTTTTCCTACAAGCTACTGAAATTAAGATGAACCGGTATAATAAAAGCATTACTTAGCATTAACAACAATACAGTTTTATTCTCAGCTAACCTGAACTAGTCCCATTTGTTTCAATTTTCCTATGCCACTTCATGTCCTCTGGTAAATAAGGTATTTCCTATCAAGTTTTCTGTTCTGATTAAAGAAGTATAATTTAAATTTTAAAAGATTTTTCTCATTTCTAAAACCAACAGAACAGCTGAATTTAGAATTATCAGGTTTATAAGATGAATTTCTTTCTTATATCTGAATTAACAACATTCAGTACATGTAATTAATACAAGTTCCATGATTAGAATGAACAAGACTCAATTCCCCCCAACCTATAAAATCAGGTATGTTTTCTCCACAATAATGGATTTCTGTATAACATTACTGTACAAATATATCAAACAGTTTATACAGAGAGAGTTTAATGTTTACACATACTGGTTTACATGCTCCATTTAATGAAACTGAATGTTCTCCCCTCTGGGGAATTAAACCTTAAAAGAAGTGAAAGCAAACTCTTCTTTCTTCATTCTATACACCAAGTATGACTGTGACCATGACAGCTAAGATAAACACCAGTTGCATATCCAAAATGATTTGACAACTGGAAAGATCAGCTTCGTCTGGAGTTCAACTAAGCACATCCATCCTGTTCTCAACAGCTGCCCTTCAAAAGGGCCAAATACTGAACTCATTGTAAGACACGACAATCTCCCACGGGACTGCACATGAATTTAAATCACTTGAGCTTGAAAGACAAACTGTTTCCAGAAAGATTTCTAAGTTGTTTTAAGTTTAATTTAGAGCTACAGCAGTTCTTTGCAAGACTTAATGAAAAAGCAGCAAATGTTATGCAGAAAGTACTTTGACTAATTGTGACCTTCCTTTTAGCAGCACAAGCATGAGAATGAAATTAAGGAGAGATGTGAGAAAAGCAAGTTCTGTCACACGTTCTCCTGCAATTCACAACTTATGTTATATACAAGAATAAAAATTACAACTAAAGTAGACAGAAAAAGCTGTAATTGCAAGAGACAGTTTTAAACAAAGTAGCTTAAATATTTAGATTTTTAAACTATTAATTCAATTAAGAAATTATTAAACAGTCTTTAAGTAAATCAGAAGTATCTTTAAATAGACAATCTGACACAGATGAAGTTTTCTGCTCAAATTTTATTCTTCCAGATGCACCTTTAAGTACATACACACATGGCATATGGAAATGCTGGGGTCTTACCTAGCTCATGAGGTAATTCATGGCAAAATACAGCCACAGAAGTGCTTAAACCACTAGAAAACCCTTCAGTAAAGGCTGCTCCTATGAAGAGACAGGAAAAGAAAAGGCAAACAAAACATTACTACATATTCAGACATCAAGTGCAGAAGCATTGTTGCACATGCTTGTGTCATACTAGGACATATATTTCACTCAAATTTTTCTTTGTAGAAGCATTTAAACTTTAACTGAACAGTTGTTTATGACTCTCAAGTCGCAAAATTCTTCTTCAGAATCCTGCTATTAAAGTAAACCACATTTCACTACCTTATTTCTGAACTAAGCCAAATACATTCCAACAACACAACCCTTCCCAAAAAATGCAATAAATGGAAATACCATCTGAAAATGCTTTTTTTAAAGATACAAAGGGAACAAAGCAGTTCAACTGCACCTGAGACTGAGATATCTTAAGAAAGTCAAGACAACAATAAGAGAGGCTGCGAAATCAACAAAAGATCAACTTCTAAGCAGCTTGCTGTTAAGTGGAGAAAAAAGCCAAAACCACAAAAAACCCTTAAACTAGTCCAACAGACCTCATCATTCTCCTCTTCTCTGCTCCTCCAAATGCTTGCCATTTTTCTTGCTTGGCAGCAGCTCAGGAGGACGCAGCACACTGAAGGGCTGCAGAGCTGCACCACAGCTCACACACAGCATGTCAGGTCCCCAGCTGCATGGAGAGCCTCTCCAAGGGTGTAAAGCCACATCCAGCTTCCTCTTCAGCTGCTACCAGGAGCCTGCCAGCAAACAAGATGCTGCCAACAAGCAGTGAAGGAGGCACAAAGCCATGTCACAGTGGCTGGCACACAAGGGACCCAGAGGAAGCACTACAATGGCAATGACTCCAGTGGAGACAATCCTTTCTGTTCACTGGAGAAACTACATGCCGACCTAACTCTTGAGAGAGACATGGTTATCCAGGTCTTCAAGTGCAAGAAATGACTGATGCTTCTCCCTGAAGTCGTGACAGCAGCAGCAATGTTACGTCTGTGATATGTGCGGTGGCATCCAGGCAAGAGGATGCAGGAAGTGGTGAGCAGGCATCTTTGGATGAGTGGTAACAAGAGGACCTTCAGTAGAGGTTCTACAGATGCAAAAGCCCAAGCCCATCAGACTGAAGAGGAAGGCAAGACCAAAGTAGCACTGGAACAGGAAACATGAACTCTGAGATGAGTAACATTTGAAAACAGTGAAGTTGGGCAACAAGAAGAACCTTCTGTCTCCACTGCAGCTACTGATCTGAAGAACATGGTTATGACCCTGGGAGCAGTGAGAGGATAAATGAGTCTTGCCTTGCCCAGCAGTTCAGTACATCAGATTAGAAGTACAAAAAGAATGATTTTTTTTTTTTTAGTGAGATTCCCTCCCATACAGGACAAAGACAGACCTGCTGACCTGTTGCCCAGGGAAGTCCATGTGTTGCCCAGAGCCTGCCTGAACGATGCTGTGGAGACACCATCAAAGCTTGTCTGGCCTGTCATAGATAGATACCAACTGCCTACAGGGACAGAATACAATTCACTTTGGGGTTTTTTTTTTTTGCTACCTCCATAAAGGAGTTCCTTGACCACAGAGAGGTCCAGTATAAAAGTAGGTGTGGACTGCAGTTCCATGTGTCTATTCAGTCTCTTGGTCAATCACAGTAACACTAAGGAATAATGTTACAAATCGTCTAACCAAGGAAAGGTGGTGGATAAGCCTACCTATGAACACAGGACATCATCATTCACAAAAAGACGCTTCAGCTGTGGAGGTAACAGTACTGGGCACACAAACCAGGATGTTCCTTAATTGTATTGGTAATGGTTTCCTATTACAGATGACACAAAAGCCAGCCAGAATTAGCATTGTAAATTGACCTGCTGCTCAAAAACAAGGAAACACCGATGGCAAATACAGCAAAAAATGACATCTTTGTGAGAGTGAGGCAACTGAGTTCAGGACAAAGGAGGAGGCTAGAAGAGGAAGAAGCAAAATTAAGATTCTAGGCTTTACCAAAGCAGACTTTGACTTATTTAAGGAACTGCAGTGTAGAATACCCTGGGAATCAGTCAAAAGGGATGTGCCCAGAAGGAGTGGCCAGTTTGTAAAGCACAAAGATACACAAACAAACAAGCCTGTTTGTGCAGGAACACGTGCAGAAGATGTGCCCAGCTAAGCAGTGTCCTAATAAATTAAGATTCGAAAAGAAAGCACAAAAGAAATAGGAACAAAGACTGGCAACAAGGAAGCTAAAAGCAGTGGAACAAAAAGGAGGAAGACCAAAGCCCAGCTTGATCTAAAACTAACAAGACTCCAAGGACAACAAGAAACAGTTCTGTAAGAAAGTTAGCTGAGAAACAGAGTTCATTAAAAATTCGGATCTGTTGATAGATGAGGAAGGGAAATAAGCAGTAGACATAACAAGAGGAAAAGCACCAGCACAGCCTTCATCTCAATCTTCGTCAACAAAGATTGACAGATCCCAGCTCCCTTCCAGAAAAAAAGAAAAAAGAGACAGCAAACCACAGAAGCAGCTCTTCAGAGTAATGCAGAAAAAACTGGAAATGCTCAGGTACATCCCAGGATGGGACTCACCTGAGGGTACTGACAGATTTACTAGTGTGACTAAAAAGCTGCTGTCAATCATGTGTAGAAAACCACGGCTATAGAAGGCCCCATTGGAACTCTGGGGAAAGGATAAGATTATTCCCATCTTTAAGAAAGGCAAAGAACAGGACTCAGGAGCGGTCAGTGTCATTCAGTTCCTGAAAAGATCATATGGAATATCCTCTTAAAATCCCTCTCCAAAAGCTGCTTCCAGCTTGAGGAGATAATTGACCATACAGATGGTGAATATAACAGAGCTTTAGTAGGATTTCTGACACCATCTCCTATAGCAGTCTTATCTGGGCAAAGAGGAAATATGGGCTTGTACACAGACTGGACTGCTGGGCTAACACGGCCTGGTGGCTGGTAAGAAGTAAAGCTCACCAGGACAAAAACTGCAACCCATTTTCTTCAGTATCTTCACTAACGATCTGGATAAAACCAGCACCACCAGCAAATTTAGGAGAGAGCGGGGAGAAAGTAAGGGCTGAGGTGATACACCAAGCACTAGAGGTTTAGACAAGACCATGGCAAATTTAATTCTTAAGAAGTTCAAAGAGGAAAAGTAAGAAGTAATCAGAGTACAAGCTTAAATATCAAGAATATATCTTTTTATTTTTTCACTGCTAAAAAGAAGTCCTGAAATGTTAATAAACTGAAGATGAAATTAATATATCTGGCATTATCCTCTCTCAAGATGCTGATTTATCTTAAAATAAACTTTTAAGACATGACTTCTCTCAAAAGCTAAAGAAAAAAAATGTATGCAAGACTAGTGTAAAAATAGTGTTCTGCATTTTATTAATTTAGTTGTAATTGCACATAAAAGTTCAAATCACAGATGATCCTTTTGCACAAATGAGTCAGATGCAACAGCCTTAATAAAAAAATAAGCTCTTTTAAATCTTGTTCCTACATAATTAGCACAACAGATTTGAGGAAAAAAGTAACTGATGGAACTTATGAATAACAAATTACATGAAGCAAATGAACTTAAATGAAGGGTTATGCTGGCTAAAGCTATCTTTACAGAGGCATTCACATCTTCTTTAAAATACAGATGAACTACTACACAAGTAGCATTGGCATTTTTACACCACCATCAAATTGATGTTTTCCCATAATACTTTTAAGCACATACAGAACTGAAAAGAAACTCATATTTCCATTAGCCTGAACAAGCTACACAGCAGGACTTCTGAAAGCTATTGCTCTCACTTGTTCAATAAGCCTTTATTAACCTCTCATACTTTTCCCTTCATAACTATAAAGTCATAGCTCCTTCCCAAATCTCCCTAATGCCAAGAGGTAATTGATTCTGTGTCATTTGTATGCAAATCTTCCTTCTACCACATTTTTCACTACTGATCTGCTCAAAAATTTACATTTCATGCTTCAACTTCCATCAAAAACGAGATTAAATCAGAAAGTCTCTTTTCACATTACAGTTTGAATTGACTGAATCTGAACAACTGCAAATATTGCTGTGAGAAAATAGTTATTATTTGGTTTCCTCTTCAAACAAGAATGAATTTTTTCCTACAATAAAGTTTACAGAAAGACTGATACTGCTGAACTGCCTCCAGTATGCTAAACTGCCTGGAAATGAATCCAATACCTGTAAAGATTAGTCTTAAATACAATAGTCAAGATCAGGAAAGATTAGCATAAGTACTGAAGATTATTGATTTGACTTCACTTTCTATAACTTACTTTAACCTTTTAAATTCAATATACCTGTAGTCTAGTTCTCCTTCTACGAAAAACATGACAGAGTTCCCAAATCTGACCTCTCAGACAGAAGTCCAAAACAAAATATTCAATCTACTATATTTGTGATGAAGAAATATTTTCACTGAAGCATTATCAAAAAAAGATTAAGCAACTGCAAGCATTAAGGGAAAAACAGGAGCATGAACTAAACAGGAACAAAAAGATAAATGTTTTGTTTACAAGTAAAATAACTGTTTATACCTGTTCAAATCTTTTACAAATGGACTATTGTGCTCAGCTTTACGTTTTGAGTATACGATGACCACTGTTTCAGAAAACAGAATTTTCAGGCTAAAACAGATTGAAAACAGGGCCTCATTGCCCTACCCATCAGTGCTCTGAAGGAACACTGATGTGTAAACAGGGCTCAGTACAGGCAGGCAGATATGCCAAGTGTAGAATCTGACCTTGCTGCATCACAAGAGAAGACAAAAGAGAAAAATAAGTAAAAAGCTAATGATAGCAGTGGCCTGAAAACACAGTTACTTTGTATGTGACAAAAAATATAAGCTCGTCCTAAAAACAATTAAAATTTTGAACATTGCTGAGCACCTGCAGGCACTGAAATAGAAACTCAATCTTAAATAATTTTTATTAGCCATTTGAAAAATGTTAGCTTTCACTCTTCAAAAGCAGGAAATGAAGCCCAGTTTACAGATTTTCTAAAGAAACACGGCTGCAAACACAATTTCTTTTTCATATATTACTTACCTCCAGGTTGTTAAGCTGGAGATTTTTCTTACTCATTAAGATGCTCTCAGAAAAAAGTTTAGGCTTCAAAGATGCTTTCCTAATTAGCTAAACCCTAACAGAGGAAAGAGACAGCTAGAAGACTTCACTGCCTTCACATCCAAGAAAGCTGCAGCATGCAAGTTAGCACTTACCAATTGCCAGTCCATCACTAAAATTGTGTAGTCCATCTCCCATGATCACCATCCATGCCAGAGTTGCTATCCCTGCGTCCTTCAGCTCTTCGCGCGAGTAGCGCTGACTGTGACTGTGAGGATGATGGTTCTGATGATGATGGTGGTGCAGAATGTGATGGTAGTCATGGTGATGGTGACTTAGATGGTCTGTCTGTCCTAGAGTATCATGCAGGTGAGAATGGCATTTGTTTCTACAGACCCTGGACACATATTCATTGTCAACCTCCTCTTGATGAGAATGAGCTATCATCACCTCTTCTTCCTCTTGTACAGTTGGCTGCTGAGAAATGAAGTTTGATGGATCTTGAGAGTCTACCCCTAGATAGCCCTCAGGCCCTGTTACAAAAACCCAGAATACAATGTTACACATTTTTAAAATCACCTAAGAAGAAAAGACACAATAAACAGTTTGGAGACTGATAATCCAATTTCTTGAACCAGAAGATTTTCTTGAAACGTTTTCACAACTTATTCAGATTTCAGAGATAATTCCCAATAGCTCAAAATAAGGAAAACTTTTCGTTTTCATCCCCTACTGCTGAAGCAGCCCTTACATTATGGCTACAAACGCTTCCTAAAAGGCAAAAAATCTTTTCATCTAAGACTCACTGCAAATTAAACACAACAGCAAAAGGCTTGAAGACCCAGTTTCACAGCATGAAAACTGCTAGATCAATTGCTTCAGAAAAAAATAAGTATTTGAAAAGCATGTGCCATTTAGCAATCTCAACTGAAGAAAAAGGATACAGAAGATCATGCAATAGATAATTTTGGAAACTCTTGTATTTCAAAATAAATACAGGCACTTAACATCTGAAAAATAAACACTAAAAAACAGTCATCAATACAGACCATTAAATACCCTCACATAAACATTGCTGACACACCACAGTTAGTTCTAACTAATTTATGAAACTTGATAAATCCTTCCTCTGCAATTAAATGAAAAAATAAAATCTTTTTTTCTACATTACAGACAAGTATTTCATTAGTTATAAAATTACTCTGAAAAACATAACATGTCTTTTAGCAACAAGAGCTAACAAGCAACTAGTCTGGTGTGTTTTGGCTTACAGCATGATCTTGGGATACATGGTCATTTGCACTCTGAATGTTGAACTTCAAGTATTGTCTAGAATTTTGTAATATTACCCTTATAAATAAATAATCACTCAAACTACAAAACCCAGAAATCTAAATAATGAGTCATGCATACAACAGCTAGCAGTCTAAAGAGAATGCAGAAGTCAGTAGGTACAGCTGTATTGCAACTTTCACAGAATGTCTTCAACTTCTGCTGCCAAATCCAGAATTAGAAGGCTTAAAGTTCCAAAACTGTGAATTCACTTCTAACTCACTGATCCTTTTCAAAGGAAAGCAGCAAATAGACCTAGTGCTTTATATATCAGCAGACAGACAGGTTTTGTTTTGAAAATAATTCAACCTACAGTAAGAAGCAGATCAACGAGCTGCCATCAATCAAGTGTTTTTCAAACAGTGCTGCCACAAAGTAGCAACTGTGTGATATTAATGAGACTTACGATCATCCGCATCCAACTTTTCTTCATTTGCTGAAAACTTCTTACTTTCTCCATCATCTTCATTTTTTTTCTTATTCCAAAAGAAAATACTGCAGTTATGAATATTTTACTTGTTTTTCAGGTTATACATGAACAACATTATATTCATGACATTTATGCAGCCTGCACAGAAAAAGGACAACATGGAAGCCATATAAAGAGTGCAGAAGAGGAATATTAGAAAAGTACTAAAGTAAGATGACAAAGGGTCCTCAGGCTCCATAGGATGGGAGAAAAAGCCAAAACAAAAAAAGACCACAAACAAACAAACCCACACATAAATGCCCTACATTTTTCACAAGAAATAAGCAGGTTTTCATCTGAGAAGCAAAACACATCAAATGGTGAGTAATTTATTCCGCTAATTATTTTCTATCATAATGTCAATGTTTTTTAATAATGTATGGAAAGAAAAACAAGTAAAATCTCTCCTCCTTGCCCACTAAAGTTTGTATCACAACAATTTATGATCAGTGACTCAGTATCTAGGAGGGCATAATTAGTCTAATAAGAAATCCATTCCTTGTGACTGGGAGGAGACAAAATTCTTGCTTTGCTTTAAACTCTTCATTCTCTTTCCTGGCAAACAAATTTAACTAGAGATAAAAATCTCTAGTTAAAATCTCATAGTTCAGCTTCAGTATAAACCACTCCAACACAACCTCCCAAATCAAAGAGCATGGCATCTGCCCTGCAACTACTGCCTTAATGACCAATTTAACGAGAAAACTAAACACATTATCAGTCTTTGAGGTAGCCTAGCAATTAGCTGTTTTTAAAGTAAGTAATTAGTACTTACTAGTTTTCTTCAAGTAAGGCTTAGGATTGGTTGGAACCAGACTTTTAAGATACCTTCCAACTCAAACCATTCTATGATTCTATTGTATCATATTCTATTGTATGACTTCTGCTTAATATTTCTTACTAAGTCAACTTTAATACGTTCTTTATTCCTGGCTACACTGGTCTTTAAAGAACTGTTACCACTAATTGGCAAGTTACCAACACCAATGATCTGCCAAAATTCAGTTATTTACCTTACACGTAAAAACCAGCATAACAACCTGAGAGCTGCAGTTTTTGGGGGAGAGACTGGAAAACACCAAGGGACTTGACAGACTGTATTTCCACATGGAATGGTATTCCATAAAATTTTTCTACAACATACTTGGATGCTTATTCATGTAGGCACTTACTGCCAACCCTTACCTGTCTGTGCATGTGCCCTCCTCAATAACAGTACAATAACTGTATAACGAAAACTTATTGCATCCAGGATTGAGGTTAAAATAATAGTAAAACCAGTTCAGATGGCCATAAATGTCTCAGGATGTCAGAAGGAAGACAGTAATGAAGTGAGTTCCTAAATCACTCTGTTAAAACTAAAGATGTAACTGGACATTTGCTTATTAAACAATTCACTGTTATGTCAAAGCCTGTACTGTATTGTCAGGTTGTGGAAATAGCAAAGAGTTCTTAATAAAAGGATCACACAAGAAGGCTATCACATACTTTAGAAGTATATGTGTCCCTAATAAAAATAAAATTCTAACACTAATCCAGTCAGCCATTGCTATTAAATTGAAAGATATATGATATTCATGGCAGGTTTTTAGTAAGTGTTTTCAGAAATGAGCATGCAATACAATAGAGCTTCAAAGTAATAGTCTCCCTACCTTTTTCTTCTTGTCTTTAAATTGCTTTATTAAAGTGATCAAATGCTCCACTAGAAACATGAAGTACAAGCCTCCAAGTGCTGTAAGTCCTTTCCATGTAGAATCCAGGTAAGCACTCTCCTCTGTACTTGGAAAAACAAGATGCTTGTATGTCGAGCCTTTTTGATCAAGCAGAGGCTTTTCGTGGTGATGGTGATGGTTTCCATGAGACTAAGGGGAGAACAAAAAGGGGAAAGTCATTATATTCAAAAGAACTGTAATGTAACAAACACAGAAAGTACTCTTCACATCTTTTTTCTCATGTCTGGAGTCCAGACTTGACAATTTTCACAGGGCAAATGCTCTGCTTAGAGACTCAAACAATTACAAAGGATTCTGTTGATTGGAAATTTGTGGATAAGAAGAAACATTGCAGGGACTGAGAACAGGTGTGGCACTGGCCCACACACTGAAGCTGCACAGACACAGCTTAATCCAAGGTGTACAGCTGCCCCCACACAAAATCCTGACACCATCAAAGAAACCACATTTTAAGCATTGGTCACAACCAGCACACCAATTAGCTTCCCATCTAAGGAAACTCACAGATGCCAAACAACTTTTTCTACAAGGAAGTTGGCTGAAATTTCTTTCTTTAAAGAAAGTCTGACACTTTTCCTCTTCTTACTGGATACTGGTATGTTCAGAAATAAAAAAACCTTTTTGCACACCTCATTCACACACGTTTGGATTTACATAACCTCACACAAAAATGCAAAATTAACTAAAAGGAAAAAGAACCACCTGGTGGATTACAGGCAGAACTGGGAAACCACAGAATCTGAAGTCACTTTTATCCATTTTATTTGAAAGCTGGAGCAAGTTACTTTTGAGAGGGGAGGAGGTGGAGAGTATCTGTTTAAGAACTTCAAGAAAGGTAGGAATTTAGCAATCATACTCCCTTTTCATTGTCCCTATTACATAACAGCAATTCCAAAATCTAACAAGTACTATTTTCCCCAGGACTTCAGAAATGATGGATTCTGGTAAAAAAAAAAATCCCAACGGGTAAGCCATCAACATAAGTGGCTTGTAACAAAAAATAGAGGAAATTGCTCACTGAACACTTCAAATGTGAAATGAATAATCAACTATCTCTAAAGTCCATTAAACTGGGGAAACAAAAAAGGAGGGGCAGCACTACAATAAACCACTAAGAAAATTCTTGTATTCAAGGAACGATAAAGGGACGTGGCATTACATATGACTAAGAACAGGAAATAGAGTGGGATAATGCTACGAAGCTCTTGAACTTTTTTTAAAGACTGTTAAATGAATAATACAGATGTTCCAAAGGGAAAACTTTTCCATCAAACAACCTGCATAACAAGGTTGAGAAATGACTCATCAAATGGGTATGAACTAATAGGGCACTAATACATACAGCTGTCAAGTTCTCTGCTTTGAGATAATGAATGAAACAGTAATTAATACTTACATGTGGAAGGAGGTGTAAGAAGGCATCTCCGCTCAAGGTCCCCACAGCCAATGCCACAAGAAAACTCAAAAGAAATTTGAAAAATACTCGATTCATCAGAGGTACCAATATAACACCCAGCAAGGAAAGAAAGCTGATGACAGAGATGGATATAAAACCACCAATCCAAGCTGGGAAATAAAAAAAAGTAACAAAAATAAGTAACAGCTGTACATGATTTTGTTTGCTTAACATTTCTGTTATCAAACACACCTGGTCATTCAATTAATCAGATGTTAACAAAAGGTATGTCACAAAGATATCTCTCTAATCTTGGTGAAGTGCCAAAAGCAAACGACACTTCTTACAACCATGAAATAGGCTTCTTGCTTTTACAACCAATATAAACATTTTTCCATTAAGCTTTGATGTTACAAAAAACGCAGCCTACCTATTTGCAGAGAGTAACTTTTTGGAGGAGTTTCAGCTTTTTCACTAGTAGCATGGACTATGCAGTATTTGCCATCGATCTGATTAATAAGAGCTGGACAGAGATAACTAAATTCTGTAGCAGTCAACAATACTTGAGTGCCTATTCCATGCAATTGCATCAGTCTGGATGCATTGGAGCACTGTGGAAAGAGACATGTTGAAGATTAACCAGAATCAAAATACCAGGATACATCTTAAAAGGACTGCACGTCCCATCTTAATTGAAATGCAGCAGCACTGCATGAAAGTAGCTATATCAACACAACTCAAAAACTGGCAATAAACCAATTTAGTAAAAAATGTACTTCCCCCCAATCCTGCTCCAGAAAGCTAGTTTGGGAGTCCGGGAAGATGACGTGTAATTATTACTCATTCTCAGCACAAATGGGTCAGATGCTTTGATGTACAAACAGAAAAAGCCTAACACTTTTCAGTCAGTTTTAAAGGCCACCTAAGGAAACGTTAACAAGGTCTAATACCTTTTCGTAGCAGCGACTGCTGTGGAACATCTTGTACAGAGCATGTTGTACATACACTCCCTCGAGTAAATAGCTCCCCACTGTACAGCTCACACACAGTCTCAGTGGGTTTAAAGAACAGCAGTACTTCTGCTTCGACAGTGCAGAACACAGCAACAACTTGTGAATTCAGCACCCACCATCACATGCCACACAACACTCTCTCAGAATTACCTGGCATAGCTGCAAACATTAAGATCCTGCTTGCTTTTTAAAGCCTTTAATAGCAAAGGATCTGACTGTTTAAGAAAAATGTCTACAACACAACTATACTCTTTATCAGTGCTAATTTTATACTATTTTAAAGTAGCACGTGGCATTTTTCCACAATCTTTTTTAGATACAGTTGTTAGACGGGGAGGGGAAGGTGTTAGAGAAGGAGGACAGTTCTACACTATCACAATGTGAGACAGCTTTAATAAGAATCACAGTACCTTAACTGGAATTTTTTACTTTCACTCAATTCATAGGAAAACAAGACAGGCTCGTGATTTAAGGCAGAACTGCAAGTTTAAAACTGTACGTGTTTTTCAGGTTTAGTAACAGTTTAAAATTTAGTAACAGTTAAATTTATAAATCATAAATGCATTAAACCAAGTGTAAGTTTATACTTAATTTTCCTCTGAGCTTTGTGAATGTAACACTCTATTCCCTCAAAAAGTTAAGTTCCAAGAAAGTTGTTTGCACGTGTTTGGCTATGGGTATTGTTACACCACAAAATTTGCACCCAGTTAAAAACAATAAGCACCTGAAAAATAAACCATGACAACATTCCTGGTGGATCTGGATTCCTGAGAATACAACAGAGCCAGCCTCACCTCTTGAGTGTTTTGTTTTTTCAGTTTAGAATAGAGGTTGCTCCCTCTCTCCAGTTCCTTGGGAGAAGCATGAGATTCGTTTGCCTTGGTGGCACCAAGCCCGGTGGCATTGCGGCCCCCAGTGACGTTAAGGGCCCCAGGGCCAGCCGCAGCCACACGAACAACCGCCCTGACTTCTCCGGGCTGCGCGTTCTGCAGCTCGGCGTGGCCGCCTGCGGCAGCGGTGATGACGGACGCCGTGATCTCGTGAGCCGCGCTCTTGCTGCGCACCAAGTTCTGCTGCCGCTCCACGCCCTCGGCCTTATGAGCCTCCTTTGCGTGGCTGTTCCTGTGGTCTTTGATAGTATCAGATTCATGGTTGGGACATGCAGCCTTCTCAGAGCTTTTACTCAATGAAACATGATTATGATGAGAGTGATGATCATGGTCATGGTCGTGATGGTCATGATTGTGGTCATGATCATGATTGTGGTCATGATCATGATCGTGGTCATGATCGTGGCTTATTTTAATCCTTTTCATTTTATCTATACCTATGTTCTGTAGCAGTTTTCTAAACCCATCAATTGACAGAGAGTTGTTTTCTCCATAACGATTAAAAAGTTCTTGAAGGTGCAACTTCTGTATTAGTCCTGCCAAGTCCGTATTGACACCCACTGTCTTTTCTGGGAAAGCTCTCTCCGAGGTATGCACAACAGTAGCCGTCTCCACTCCATGATGGTAACTTTCACACAGCAGTATGGAAAACGATACAAGGAAAATAACTGATGCCGTACTCTCCATTGCAGTTCCTTTTCAGTAGTGCAAACAATCTGTAAAAAGAGGAAAATTTAAATAGTTTGCATAAAATCGATCACGTTGTACTCTGTAACACACAATCACCATTTGCTTAAACAAAAAGAAACGCCACAACAAACAAACCAAACCCTGCTTGAAGTATCAATGCAACAAGAGATATTTAAATTTCTTACACATTCAGCACTTCTCCCAGATGTGTTGCCTCGGGAAAAAGAAGAAGCTGAATACCACAATGAGGTCACTAGCCACGAACAACTCCCCAGGTGCCAGCTTGCCTTTGTTTAGCTCTGCCTGAGTCATACTAATATGGGCTATACAACGAGAGCCCTCAAGGGTGCACCAACTAAGTTCTAGGTTCGAGTTTTCTCGTGCTTAAAAGAAGCCCTGGAATTTTTCCCTTAGCAATAAATCGTATAAATTACATGTTCCCGCTTAAAAATCAAAACTCCCAACTCTTCTTCACTGGATTTCCCACAGGTTTTGGCAAACCAGCTGGGCGAGTGTTTCCAGAACTCTACAAAAATTTGGTTTTTTATACTGTCACGTTCTATCTTTGTTTTAACATTAGTGTCGCATAGCTTCTTTCACTAGGCAGGCAGACTATTGCTGTGGACCAGATTCTCACAAGTTCGTGTGCATCATTCCATAAATACTCCAGCAGGGCTGCGAATTAATTGCTATGGAGACTGCGCGCAGGGCTATGCTGCCTCAGCCCTTTTCCGGGGAGATACGGAGAACCTCTGTTTCCAGAAATATTAGTCAGCCTGAAAAACCCCACACCGCGGCTGGCTGCGAGGGGACCTCGTCATTGTCCATAAGCACTTGAAGGAGGAGTGCCAAGAGGACGACACAGGCTCTTCTCGGTGGTGCACAGCAATGGGACAAGAGGCAAAGGGCAGAAACTGATGCACAGGGAGCGGCCCCGGAATAAGAGGCAGAACTTTACCGTGCGGGTGACCGAGCACGGGAACAGACTGTCCAGGGAGGGTGCGGAGTCTCCCTCACTGGAGATACTCAAGAACAGTCAGCACGCAATCCCGTGCCACGTGCTCTGGGATGACCCTGCTGGAGCAGGGCGGCAGCACCAGACGCTCCACCGTGCTCCCCCCCAGCCTGTCCCACCCGGTGACTCCGTGACCCGCAGGAGCCGCTGAGCGCCCACGGCCCCCGCTGCGACCCCGCACGGGCGGAGGCGGCCCCGGCCGCCCGCGCTGCCCTGAGCGCGGCGGGGCCCGGGCACGGCGCACCACGAGAGGCCACGAGAGGGGTGAGCAGGGGGAGGAAAAGAAGCCCGAGGTTACCTGTCCCGCCGCCGCCGGGCAGCGCCGGGCCGGGCTGAGCCGCACCGCCGCCGCTGCCCTCCCGCGCCGGCCGCGCCGCGCTCCTCCGCTTCCCTTCCCTTTCCTTTTCCGGGTACGGCGGCCGGCGCGCGCCGCTCCGGCGGCTCCGTGGAGGCGGGGCCGCCTCACGTGGGGCCCGAGCGGCCTCGACGGCGCCGGAGCCTGCCCGGGGTATCCCGGGACAGAGGAGGCGCCCGGGAGAAAGGCTGCATCCCGAGGGGCTCCCTGCTTCAGAAAACACTGGAGTTTGGGTTTAGTGTTTCGGGGGAGGTGTGAACAACCCCCAAAGAGTTTAAAGCATGAGAGTCAGAGAGGGCTTTTCCTCCCAGAAAACACGAGTCATTCAGGGCTGGCAGCGGTGGTTTGGATGATGGCACTGGGTGTGGCGGCATTCCTTGGAGGCTTGGAAAGGGTTTTGTACAAGGACTCTCGGTGTTAAAAAGAGTACGTGTGTGGGCAGGGATTGGGCTGGCCGCTTGTGAGCAAAGGGTGCGGGTAAATGGCAACGGATGCCGGGTTTCCACGGCATCCACAAGGCCTTTGCAGTGAGCTCTGTTTGGTCAAACCTGTCATTATAATTAATGATCTGGCAGAAGAATCACTCTGTGCACGGGTGGACACAGAGACAGTAAGAAAGGACTGAGGTCACCAAGGAGAAAGGCTTGAAACTTGCTAAAAACATGCTGCTTTCTTCTGAAAAAAAAAAAAAATACTGTATTTTTCAAATGTTGCTTTGCTGTACCACTTAACTGGTCATGAGCCCTTCACCACTCTGGGTCCCAGGCACAGGCTCTCTTATACCTCCTGTTTCTTTCTCCAGCATTTCTAGAGTTTTTCTCTCTATCACCACGTGATTAATATTGCTGGTAAAGTGGGTGCAGTTGTGCTTACCTATGTCCGCTGCCTCTGGAATTTGGCCTTGTGTGATGAGTTGCCAAGGATTTTCAACTTGCTAGAGTGTGAAAGCAGCACTGAATCCTGCCCTAGTATCTGGCTTTAATGATGACTTCTGAACGTTATGACAGTGACTTAACATCCAAACCATTCTCAGCCATCTTTCTCCTGCTGCCTGCACTCCTGACAGTGCCACCTTGCTCACCAGTCAGGAGGTGACAGATGTCTCTTTTTTATGTCTAATACCTCCCACTCGCTGACTGAATTAAACCTCTTTGTTCATGAGTTCAGCTCACTGAAGGACAGAAGGGAAGTATGCTTTATGAACAAGTCCAGAAATAGAGAGCAACATATCAGAAGGTTATGGATTTGTTCCATGCACTTGCTTTTGAAGTATTAAAAAAAAAAAATCTGAGTCATTCAACCCTACTCTTTTTTTTGCTTGTTTGTTTTTTCTTTTCCCCCAAAGGAAGAGAGGGAGGCTATAAATGCAGGAGTGAGTGGGGTTGGTGTGTTTGGATTTTTTTTGTTTGCTGCTAATTCATTTTGCATGAACACCATTTACCATATGCCTTTCTATTATTTCAGTAACACTACATTTGTGCCTAAGATGCTAATGTTATGCATTTGTTTGTGGATTGTTTATTTTTTTAATCTTTTGAAATTACAGCTGGTACATTATGCATCCTCTTTTTCTATCCTCTTGAATGCATGGACTGTTTCGTTGTGTCAAATCTGGCATTTCCCCTCACATCTTGTCAAGGTCATTTACAAACCTAAGTATCAGAGCTTAGGTTACACAGAACTGGTCTTCAGTGCTCTCTATCTCTTTTATTTAATTTGAGTAGTTAACACTCATCAGCTAGGCAAAAAAAAAGAATCCATCACAGTAAAAACTATTCACCTAAAACACTTATTTGCACTAAAACTTGAGGTCAGGTCTATTTTACCTGAACTGATGTTAATCTTATGATAAAATTAAAGTACTTTAATAATTTTTTTCACATTCTGTTATTTAGTGTTTTAGTCTGAATACATATCCAACCGTGGGCTCTGGAGTAGTGATTACATAAAACAAAGGTCTTGGTGACCCTTATGGATGGCTTAATGAAAGTATAAAAATCTCTCAGCCCATGGACAAATGGGAAGAATTAATTGGAGAGTTGGTGGAGAGCAAATCAGGAAGCAGCTTGATTGCTTGTCTTAGTCCGTCATGGAACTGCATCTTAACTACAGCCTGTATCTCCAGGCTCCTGTTACAAGAAAGGTATGTTTGGAATTGAAAACACCATCTTTGCTGGGATTTAGGGGAGGGTTTTTTGTTTGTTTGTTTGTTTGTTTTCAGGAAGTGACAGTCTTTTCAGTATGGAAAATGAATGAAGAAGGAGGAGATGGAAGTGGAAAAGCTTGTGAAATAATACTACATGTTTAACTGATGTGATTGGTGTTGCCCAAAAATTTCTTGATTGCTGTGCTGAGTGTGTGCCAGTGCAAATGCCTTAAGATTTACCACTTGAGAACCAGTAAGGAGCTGGCTGTTGGTGCAGTTCCAGTCTCTTAGCAAGGCTTTATCACCAGCTTTAGCTGTGTTGTGTGACCTCAACATTATGCACTTAATGGAGGTGATGATAGGGAAGTAAGCCTGAGCATGAGAGCCACCCTTCTGTGGTCCTTCTAAGTTTCTACCCCTAAAAGTTTCTTGAGATTTGGAAAGTTTTTAATTTCCTTGCCTTTTAACTTTTTATTGAGAACAGCTATGTGATTGGAGATATTAAATGCTTTATAAAATAAATGAAAACTGTGAAAGTTAAAAACTTTGGTTTTAAACTGTAAGTTGTTACCATACAAGTTCTGGACAGCTGAAACCTCACACAAAAGTCCGATATCTTTCTTTAAAATCTCCAATAATCCTTTTATTCTATTAACGACACTTCACAATTGTAAATAAATCCCTGAATCAGGAATTCCTTGTTATTATTCCAATAGGTTCCTCTTTTCAGTACTATGCTGAAGTACAAGTTGGCAATTGCATATTTAATGTTATTGTATTCTAAGGCCAAAGGATACATTTTAATATAGCAATGTCCTTTGTTTGTTTGCGTCTGTGTTCTGTGGTGGTTTTCAAAATCTTCAGAATTCTGTCTGGAAAAAAAAAAAAGTATTACTGGTTATGTCTCCCAAATGACTACAGGTTTTCCACAACCTACAAGCTGAGCTTTAAAGGGGAGTGTTGTTTTGGTTTTTTGGATTTTTTTTTTATTAGCATAAATACATAACAGTAATATCTTAAGTAAAGAAACATATATGAATATATGGCTGTACAGAATCTCCATTACCTTCTCCTGTGCTCCTTGTCTTTCTTTAGTTGCTCATTCTCGTGTCAACAAATTCTTTTCTGAAGACGTCTCTGAAACAGAGAGGTTTTAGCTGAAGAAATAATTATCTGGAAGCTTCACAGCAAGAGCATTGGATCCTTTTGTGTGCTGTGCTTAGCTGCACAGATGTCTAGTGAAGTGCTAACTGCCAGGGTGGAGCTTTGACTTCTATCATACATTTTCTTACAAATTTTGACTATAGTCATGACCTGCTTGCAAATAATTTCTGAAGAATAAGCCCTGAAATTATTGAAATAGTAAAGAATAGAAATAAAACATTAAAGTTACCCTATTTCCCCCTGCAGAGCACCTTTTGCCTTTAGCCTGATCTGTCAGTTATTGACGTCTGTGGAAAAACTCCCTAGAGGATTTGAACATATGATCACAGATACTTATAAACCAAAAACTTTACAGTTTGGGTCTGCTATAATGTTTTATTCAGTAATTTTAATTATATTTTGTTATATCTATTTTTAATTATATATTTATAACGCATATAGAATATCAGTAATGAAAATAATTTGTAAACTGTTAAGCTGTCCTTGATAATGTAACAATATAACACAGAAAAGCGTCTTGGCATAAGCTGTATGTGGGGTTATCAGAGACTCATTGCTGTGAGCACAGAGGAGCAGTGACTTGAGGGGAAACTCCAGTCACTGGGTAAGCACGATGGAAAAGCCCTGATCTGCATCTGGGACTGCCAAAGGAGAAGGATCAGCCTTGGGACCAAGTGAGAAATTTGCCAGACAAGTAAATGGAAGAAGCTGGCTGGATGACTACAGATATCCTATCACCCTGAAGAGGGACACTGAAGTCATTATGGGATGCAGGAAAGAGGTTCTTGGGATTGTGCAAGGCTTATTATAAAATAAGGGGAAGGACTAAGGTGGGTAAAAGGAGGATCAAGGTAATTTGAGAAGAAACAAAGATGAGAAGATAGGAAAGAGGAGACAATAAGGGCCAGTTGCAAGGCTGCTGATAAATAGTTGAACTCGAATGCTCTGCTGCTTTTCCAACCTTGTTACTTGTTCATTGGTAACTTTGTGAATGAGGGTCTGTCTGTTCTGTGTGGATGGATAAGTAAGTGCCAGTGGCTGGAGAGGACACCAGGAGTTGCAGGGGCCCTTGTTTGTGCCAGCAACTGGACAGGTGGCCGTATGTCATCGGTGTCTGTGTGTCTGAAGTGACAGCAACTGGAAAGACTGGAGTGCGTGCACATTGTGTGGGTGTGTGCCTCAGTGTGTGTAATTAATTGCTAATGAACATTAAGCTGGAGATCCAAGCCGGCTGTTGGAAGGACCCACAGAATTAGGGGTGGGGCTGTGAAAGAGCCTGTCTGTATGTGAGGCAAGTGTCAGGCCAAGGGATTCAGAAACTGGGTATAGATTGACTAAGACCAGAGAGAGCCACAGGGTGTGTGTCAGTGTGTGCATGTGTGCACATGCTCCAGTGGGTCTGGGAGCCAGCAGCCTGTGGAACTACGGGCCTCAGGGGCTTTTATGTCCAGGTGCCAGCAACTGGAGTCGGCAGAAGATCCTGCAGCCAGTAACTAGACAGATGGAGTGTCTAAGAGCAGCTGCTGGAGGGATCTGTATTATATCCGTGTATGCATTCCTTGCTCACAGGCTTTCATCCTAATCAGCCAGATGGGGGAACAGGATGTGGGTGCCGGTGCTGTTGGTGATTGCATGAGGGCTGTGTTTTGGCTGTGTATCTGTGTGACTGGCTCTCTGGATACTGTGCACCTCCACCTTTTTTGAGAAAACCTGCTCAA